GATGGGCCTGGGTCTTCCTCTGACTGCCCAGCCGGCCTCTGCCCTTCCCCAGCCTCCTCCACAACCTCTGGAGCCACCCTTCCACTCCCTGTCGGCTGTTCCTCCTCTCCCTCAGAGTCAGTCTCCACCAGGGGCATGACACAAGAGGCCATTCCAGAAAAGGCCCATCTTCTAGTCCCTGTTAGCTGACATTCTTTGTCTGACAGGATCTACAGCATTCCCAATCTACTAGATAGAATTGGACAGGTGGAGACTCTTGGAAAAAGGCAAGTCCCTCAGGTAACCCAGTCCCAAGCCATATAGGTTTTTAAAAGTGACAGCCAGCACCTTGAATGGCACCCTATGATGCTGTTACATCTCTAAAACCAAGTTAATATTGTCTCCTCGGAGCTAGGACAAGCAACTAGTTGGACCGAGCATCCTTGAAGCAATTAAGGATTGTGTAATGGCTTTTAGAATGTAAAATATAGGTTAGAAGGGATGGGGGAGAAGGAATCTCTTTTTTCGCCCTCTACTGCACCTGTGTATGCTTTGCCAATTGCACAGGGGCAGATAGGATGGCACTCCAGAGGATTAATGTCATTGCCCAGAAGATCATTGGTTGCCCTCTCCCCTCTTTGGAAGAGCTTTATAGCTCCCACTGCCTTAAGAAAGTTCAAAACATTCTCAAAGATCCATCTCATCCTGGGAACCTTTTTTTTTTTTTTTTTTTTTTGAACTATTACCATCTGGCAGACGGTACAGGATAATAAAAACAACAAATAAGCTGTAAAACAGCTTCTATCCCAGAGCAATAACTCTGTTCAATTCTACTGTATAGTACAATATTAATGCAACGTCAGGGGTTTTCAATTCAATGTATAGAATGCGTTTGTGTTTATTTTCATAGTCATAATGTACACTAAAGATGGTGTTTAATTTCGTTGTACAAGGTGCAATGACAAGTAAACTAAACTAAACTAAACTAAAACTACCCTATTGCATTCTCAGTTTGCAGCCCCATCCCTGATACCTAGTGGAGAGTCCCAAAGGTGCTTTTTTTTCAAAAGAGGCAACTGGACTTTCTGTTTTTTTTCCTTTGAAGACGTTTTGCTTCTCACCCAAGAAGCTTCTTCCAGTTCTGACTGGGATGGTGGGGAATGGGAGGATTTATTTATATTCCTTGCAGACAGCTGGTCATTTGCAGTCTTTTAGGGTGTCCTTGAGGCCACCTGGAGGCATATCTGTGCCGTCAGGGTTGCCTGAGCAGTGCAAATGGGTGTGGAGCCTTCTTGGAACCGTTGAAAGGACGGCGTTGTAGATTGGAGACAGAGGATGTCTTTCGTCGAGAAGTTGGAGTTGTGCCTTTCTGCAGGATGTTTTCTGCCCTGTGTCCCTTCGCTGTTGAGCGCAGGCTGTTGGGGAGGCCTCTCAAACTGAAGGGCAGATGGTTCCTGTCGCCTGCAATTTTTCTGGAAATCCGTTCATACTCCTGCGCCGTTCAAAGGGTGTGTTCATCTCAAAGTACATCACTCAGTGTCTACGGAGATTCTCGATCATCCACAGTCTGCAAAAAAACCCACCCCAGAAAGTCCAGGTGCCTCTTGAAAAAGCATCTTTGGGGCAACCATGGCCTGGATGAATCTCCGTAGACACCTAGGGGGAGAGCTTTTTTTTTTTTTAACTGCAAAATCAGGTACATGGGACGATCTGAGTTTAAACAGCAGCAGAGAACCAGGCCTAAAGCTTTTCCATCTGTGAGGTTGCTCAGTTTTAATTGTACGTTGAGTGGGGACCAAATATTTAGATCAGTGATCCCCAACCTTTTTTATGCCGCGGCCCGGTATCCCCAACCTTTTTTATGGCGCGGCCCAGTACCGACATCAGCTGGGCGCCGCCATCTTGTTTTGATGAAAAAGTGCTTCCGGTGAGCTTTTCCGGGTAGAAAGCTCACCGGAAGCACTTTTTCATCAAAACAAGATGGCGGCGCCCAGCAAGCCAGCGGCCCGGTAGGACTTGTTCCACGGACCGGTGGTTGGGGACCCCTGATTTAGATGATTTGAAGAAATGCCATGTAAGCACAATAAACAATTTCCCACATTTTATTCATCGCAAAAATAAGACCATCACTTTAACTTGCTGTGATATTTCTTGCCCGTGCATAACTTTGGGCGTCATCGGTTTCCAACTGACTTACGTTTTCCCACTTGATGAAAACGAAGTGTATTTTTATTCTGTGTTTAGGAACCCTTTTGCAGTAGCCTCGTCTGCACAGAGGCCGTGGCCTGTAGTAGAGTCTCATGTAGCTGTGATCACATAGGAAGGGGAGTTATGGCAATCTTCCCATCTCGAGAAAATTCCACATTAATTTGAATGTTAATATTTGCCCCGTAGCAGGAGATGGAGAATTAGTGGAGTGTATATTGTTCCACCTTGGGAAAATTTAAATCAAACCCAGAATAGGGAGAAGTATATAATATAAAGCAAATTTCTTTCTAATGTAGGGTTTGCCTTTATGTAGCATAAATTTAATAAGAATGTTATAACACAGTAACATTTTCAGAGGGCAAGTATCAACACCTAAGATACTTTTATTGTTGTATTAGACCAGGGGTAGTCAACCTTTTTATACCTACCGCCCACTTTTGTATCTTTGTTAGTAGTAAAATTTTCTAGCCGCCCACCGGTTCCACAGTAATGGTGATTTATAAAGTAGGGGACAAAACCCCTTCCACCCACCATGAAAGTTGGAACGCCCACTACTGGGTGGTAGGGACCAGGTTGACTACCACTGTATTAGACAACGTCCTGAATGGTGCTGTGGCCTAGAGATGGAGCTTTCGCCTCACCATCAGGAAGCTGTGAGTTTGATCCCAGGTAGAGGCAGATTTTTCTCTCTCTGGGCACAATTAGGAGTTTTGCTGAACAAAACTCTGCATTGGCGACAGGAAGGGCATCTGGCCAGTAAGCACTCAACTCCATTGAGTTGCCCAGGCTCCACCCGGCAAGGGATTATGGGGTCATTAAAAGAAGATGATTAGACAATGTCTTATTTTTTTCAGGTTGTGGGCTTTTTTTTTTCCAGTTTCAATTTTTTTTTTTTACAATATATCCATATCAATATGTGAACAGTGTGGCATCTGAATGTCATACATTTTAGTACAAATGAAAATAGTTATATTAATCATATTTTCTACATTCTTCAAACTTATGCAGTTCTAATGTTAATATACATATTTGTGTTAAATTATAGATTTTCATTATTTTATTATTCAATGTTTCAATACGTTATTCCAATGCCAATCACAATATTGTCTAAATATACATAATAATACCATCATTCAATTTCTAATCTTCCCTCTGTCAACTAAAAAAAAATAAATACTTCTTTGGTCTTTTTAGTTGCCAGCAGAAAGGGAGTAGGGAAAGTAGTGCATTCCTGAAATGCTTATAGATAATTTCTAGGTAACTGAAGCTTCTGGCATGGAAGAATATTACTGGAGACCATGATTGATGACTCTTAGCTATGGATGTGTCCCATTGGAGAATATACATCCAGGAGGTGGGGGGGAAACTAGAGTCAAGGGGGAAATGAATGATGTATTTTAGTGTCAGCTGCAGCTAGAGACTTATGATTCGAATGGGGGTGGATTTGTTGGAGCCCTGACACCCTCTTCTTATTACTTTTGTCTTATTGTATAAAAATGTGTATACTAATATTCCCCCGGCTGCTCTTATTTCTATTCCTATTCTAACTTTTAATCGTGCCACCATTATATTTAAAAACAAATCCTTTCTATCTGTCAATCTCTTGTCCGCTTTCTGGTTCTGGGCTAATTTTGATGTTGGATTCCTTAGAACAGTGGTCCCCAACCTTTTTTGTACCACGGACTGGTACAATCCACGGACCGATCCACGGACCGGTACCGGCATCAGCACGCACGACCAAGGCAAGGCGAGCCGAGCGACCGGCCAGCCAGCCGTGCCCCGCTTCTCCCCGCCACCTTCAACTCCTCCTTTGTACCTTCTCGCGGTCGATGGGCTTTTCGGGCTCTTTCTTAATCTCCTCCTGAGTAACGCGAGACTCCACCGCCATCGATGAAACTAAGGTGCGAGGATTCCTTCAGCACCCAAACGCCACTTTCCAACCGACGACCGACAAGCTCACCCGGAAGCACTTTCTCAAGCGCCGTCGAAACAAGATGGTGGCGCCCAAGCAAAATAGGCGGCCCGGTACAAAATGATCCACGGACCGGTACTGGTCCGGGGCCCGGTGGTTGGGGACCACTGCCTTAGAAGGCTCTTTGCTCTTTGGGGTTACTTTGATTCTTCTGCCCACTATGTTTTGTTAATTGTTATTTTTGTCTGTCTTAATGCCGTATGCTGCCTAGAGTTGTTTTCAAATCTGTTAAAATAAATACAGATAGTTTTCAACTTAAAACAATTTGTATAGGGACCATTCAGAGTCACAACAGCACTGAAAAAAGTGACCCGTCTTCACACATTGTGCCATCCTCATGGTCAGGTAACCAAAATTTTGGCTTCCAACCAGTCAAGTAAATAGGAGAAGCCAGATTTGCTGAATGGCTACACGATTCACTTAACAATTATGACAAAAAGGTCATAAAATGGGCCCAAACTCAGTTAACAACTGGTTTAGCAATCAAAATTTTGGGATCAATTGTGGTTGTAAGTTAAGACTACCTGCATGTGTTTTCGGTCGACAAAATATTGCCATCTCAGAATATTGAAGCCTTGAGGGGATTTGACCATCTTATGGATAATTATTTTCATCATTTTTTAAAAAAAAATTAATTGGGAGGGCTGTGGATGTCATCTAGGTTGGATGCAACAATGCTGACCTCCGAGAGACATTAATCCTATTTAATGTAACTTTTTATATTGCTTGTGAAGGTGGGGGGAAAGAAATGTTTTTTTTTTTTTAAACCAAGAATGTACGAGAATAGAATAATGAGATTATCTCCCTTCTGAAGCCAAAATCTCCTTTCTCCCTTTTGCAGTGGTAGCCGCTCTTCTAAAACTTTTAAACCAAAGAAGAACATTCCAGAAGGCTCCCACCAATATGAGCTGCTGAAACATGCGGAGGCAACTCTTGGAAGTGGCAACTTACGGATGGCTGTTATGCTGCCCGAAGGCGAAGATCTCAATGAATGGGTTGCCGTGAACAGTAAGGAGAATTTGCTTTGGTTGTGTATATTTTTTTTCAGCACTGATGCATGAGGAAAGCACTTTTTTTTTTGTCTTTAACATAATCCGTTCCTCCTGGAATTGGTCAATTGAGACATATTATTTTAGTAGGAAGTACAGGAAGTCCTTGACTTACAACAGTTCATTTTGTGGCCATTTGAAGTTATGATGGCACTGAAAAAAGTGACTTATGACTGCTTTTCACACTTCTGACCATCGCATCATCCCCAGCAGTGGTAGTATCCAGCCGGTTCACACCGGTTTGCATGAACTGGTAGCAAGGATTTGTTGTGGGTCGCCGAACCAGTAGTAACTTCTGGCTGGCCAAGCCCCCGACCCAGTCGCCCCTCCCCACCCAGTCAGTCCTTATCGCGCATGTGCAACATCGCATGAATGCCCGACATCTCTGACTGCATTCTTCCCTGCCCAGTCACTCCTTAAGGTATTTCTTTTTTTTTCCTTTCCCGATGATCAGCTTCAGCTGTTCCTATGATCAGCTGTGCCAGGATTCCCCTCGCTGTCTTACTGCTTCGCCCAGGAGGCTTCCCTGAGGACCAGAAGGCCCAAAAAAAGGGGGGGGGCTGCAAAAAAAGCCACACCCACCCAGTCACATGCCCATCTAGCCACACCCACCTAGCCACGCCCACAGATCCAGTAGTAAAAAATTTTGAATCCCATACTGATCCCCAGGGTCACGTGATTTACATTTGGATGTTTGACAACTGACTCACGTTTATGACCGCTGACCATGTCGTGAAGTGTGAAAAACGGTCATAAGTCATTTCCTCTCAGTGCCGATTTAATTTCGAACAGTCACTTAACGGACTGTTGTAAGTAGAGGACTACCTGTATTTTACAGTATTTCTAAAACGCTCACCATCGTGCATCTGGATGACGGACAGTCTAAGGAACTCTTAACGGGATAAGAGCGCTAGGGCAGAAAGCCGTTGGTTAGAAAACAGTTCAACGAAAACAGGAAGCGAAAATTAAGGCTGTTCAGGGTGGCCTTCAACCCCAGACATTTTCTCCCACTTTGAATTCACGGTGGGACGATTTGATAAGGCACATTTGTGCAGCACAAGCATTAAATTTCACCTCGTTTCTGAACTTTGCTGGAAACCAAGCTGGCTTAAGAAACGGTGGTCTGGATTCAATCTGCTCCTTGGTTTTGGCAGCAACGCCAGCCAGATGTCCTGTCTGGATCCATGTTACCATGGTTCCTGATTTAGTTATTTTTAGCCGAAATGTACCAAAGAAAAACACAATAAGCAGAACTAATATTAATAATATACTGATTCTACAGTAAAAAAAAAAGAATGAATACTAAGTATTTGTTTACATAAAACTAAATAAAGGACCATATAATAACATAATATGAATTCCCCTCCGTTTCCCCCTCTTGCTACTCATGCTTTTAAAGGAAGATATTAGTCATGTTTCTGTGTGGACATGTGGCCTCCGTTTACTCATTTCCACTGTGGTTTACTCACAAAAAAGACTAGGCAGTTTTACCATTCTTGCCATTCCCTTCAGCTACTCAACTTTCATCGTCATAGTTGACTGTTTTAAGCCAAATGGGTAAATACCAAGAGCTTGAAGTCACTTTTTGTTCCAATAAACGGGGACAGCTCTGGTCAGGTTTACCGCTTTTCCTCTTCCATCATCATCATCAGATTGATGAAAGGAAAAAGAAATGACTGTTCTTATCATATATTGGTTGTCTCTTTTGCTTTAAAAAAAAGTAAATTGGCAAAAAAAAAGTCATAAAATGGAACAACATACTTTCACTTAGCAGCCAAAATATTGGGCTCAATTGTGGTCGTATGTCAAGGACTACCTGTATACACAAATAAAGGTTACAAGAACTTTGTGTCTTCTGGACTAATGAAAAAAAGTTTTTTTTTTTTTTTTGCATAAAATTTTTGATTTGATAACATATAAAAATTCCACTATTGGTTAACCCAGGGGTCTCCAACCTTGGCAACTTTAAGACTTGTGGACTTCAACTCCCAGAATTCCTCAGCCAGCCTGGAGACCCCTGGGTTAAACAGTGTGTTGTCTGGGTACAAATATTTTTAAGAAATAATTATCAAAAGTGTTTACAACAATATTCATTACACTTATATTCATTCTATCATAATTATCATAACAATAATACTAATATTTGCTTAACTATTTTAACAAGCCTCCTTTTTTTTCATTATTCCTTTTCTTATAGTTCCATGTTTCTAACTTCTGTTCTTGTCAGCTAACCATTGATAAAATATGGACTAATACACAAAAGTTCTATTCTGTGCTCTGAAGTTTTGAAAACTGTTGTTGGAATACATCCTGTCCTCCTTACAGAAGGGCGTGCATGGAATTACCTCAGTGTATCCAGAATTTGCAATTCCCCGATGTCTAGAGAGGAAGTCTTTATCTTCTCTGTGGCAAAGACATGGATGAGAAGCAGTCTTCATGTTTATATCAATGATGAAGAACAATTTTAAGATATACTAGCCGATAACCTGACGTTGCCTGGGTATTTATTTATCCTAATCCTGTATTAGACAGGAAAAGCCCTGATTTCAGCAACAATCCAGTACAAATGTAATTCCTAATGTTGGATTTTCCCCCTTACCAGAGAGAGCTCTTGTGGAGTACCGTGAAGCTGTTACCATGGCAACTCCATATAGCTGTACAGTAGAAGCCATTTTAGGGCAGTACAGTAGAAGCCACTTTAAGGCAGTACGGTAGAAGCTATTTTAAGGCACAACAGGCTGTATCCTAACAAAACACACACCCCGAGGGGTGTTAGTGGTGTCTTACCCCCCACAATATTTGTTTCCAGAGAGTAAATAATCTGTGTACCAAGTTTGGTTCAAATTGCTCGAGGCGTTCCAGAGTTATGCTGGAACACACACACACACAAACACAGCCATTTTATATATATATATAAGATTATTATGCAGATTACTAGTCCATGTAAATATGGCTGCTGGGAAAAAAGTGAAAAGGATGGCCAGAGAGACTCCTGTCATTTTATTTTAAAGGAATAGATATTTTTTTAATAGGCAATGACAATGCTATTTAGATTTGAGGGCTGGCCGTACAAGTGCAGAATCTCTTTGGAGAGGCAGATCATTTGGGATATTCAACTCTTCTTTTCATTTTGATTGAGTTCAGTCGGACAGAAATAAATAACCTGGATTGCAGGAACTTCCATTCATACACACCTTCCTTGAAGAAAGTGAGTGTTTTGCTAAATAAATGATCCGACTGGTAGTAGATTAATGGCAGCGGCATTGAAAGTGTCAGGCTTTGTTTTCCCAGAGAGCCATTGGTTGTAGGACAGATATTTTTGCAGCCAAACTAAAACAAAACCCACAGAGGTTTGGGTTTTCAAGGCCAATTTACAGATAGAAGTCTGCAAACAACTTGAAAGAGCCAGTGAAAAGAACAACCTTCATGATTGCAGGATAGAATATTATCCTTGTCGTTCTCAAGGACATCGTATTTTCTTAGCTTCTGTACTGTCAAAACGAAAATTGTGTTTTTTTAAAAAAATAGATACTCTGTTAAGGCATTAATTGATGAAAGCCTCAGTTTTGCACAGTTTTGTAAGCACCAGTTCTGCCGAAAAACAAACGGAAAATTTGCAAGAGCCGAACGAGAGCAAGCCGCTCTATATAATGTCAATAGCTTTCTGCTTGAATGATAGAGGAGGTGGTCGAAAGCATGAAGGATTTCTGGCTCTTTTAGAAAGGATTTGCTCAACCTCTGCCAATGTGAATTGTGGGTCAGAAATATGGGTCTTTCGTGTCCAGGTAAAACATTCATTCCAACGGGCTTCATTAATTTGTCATTGGTTTGTTAACTTCTTGAAGAGATGCAGCCGCAACCTGAACTATATGCCAGCAAAAATACACTCTTGGAAAGAGCTGCAGGGCCTGCTTCAAATTGTTTTTAATCCTCCTCTTCTCCTGAAAAAACTTTTCAGAGTACACAACTTGTATAGTTACCACAAATGGGCCAATGTGAGGGGAAGGGAGTTAATGGACCAGACTGGAACTCTGGAGAAATCTGTTATGGGCACTTTTATTTTAAGCAAATCTAATTTTTGTACCTGCAATCGTGTGAGTCATTCTATCCTGATTCTTGAGACCTGTCTAAAAAACATTGGGCTTATTTCTGACGACTGTTTCTTGTGGAACCTGTGGCCGAAAAAGACACAGAATGTTGTTTGGTTTGCAGAGGAATTTTTCCCCTAATAATTGCTTGCTAAATGGAATGTGTTTTTTCTTTCTTTCTTTGACAGCTGTGGACTTTTTTAACCAGATCAACATGCTTTATGGGACAATTACAGACTTCTGCACAGAGGAGAGCTGTCCAGTGATGTCTGCAGGGCCAAAGTAAGAACATCAGCCATGCTTACAAAATGTTGTTGTTGTTAGTGGAGAAATCGTGTCTGACCCATCGTGACCCCATGGCCTTCCTGTCCTCTACCATCTTCTGGAGTCCATTTAAGTCACGCCTACTGCTTCAGTGACTCCTTCCAGCCACCTCCTTCTCTGTCATCCTCTTCTTCTATTGCCCTCATCAGGCTCTTCTCCAGAGAGTCCTTCCTTCTCATGAGGTGGCCAAAGTCTTTGAGTTTCATCTTCAGGATCTGGCCTTCTAAAGAGCAGCCAGGGTTGATCTCCTCTAGGACTGACGGTTGGATCACCTTGCAGCCCAAGGGACTCGCAGGAGTCTTCTCCAGCACCAGAGTTCAAAGGCCTCCATTCTTTGGCGCTCAGTCTTCCTTATGGTCCAACTTTCACAGCCACACATTGCAACTGGGAAAACCAGAGCCTTGACTCTACGCAGTTTTGTTGGCAGGGGAATGTCTCTGCTTTTTCGTTTGCTGGCTTACAAAATAGAGGAACCAAATGTCACCCTTTTCCCATTTTATCATTGAACATACTCTAATCAAGAAAACAAATTGTGCTCTTCATGGTTACCTCTTAAAAGACTGTGAAGCCTGGAATTTTTTTTTTGTCTTCAAAAGTGATGTGTATGTTGGGTGGGGCTGTTCTATATTTGTGTAGTATATTGTGTAGTCTTCCTGACATTTGCTGGGAGTGGGTGGAATGGAACAAGACACTTTGTGCCAAGAATGGAACCCAGCCTTCCATCTCTTTGAGAAAGCAGCTTATTTTAAAAGGGAGAAAAGTCCTATTGGCCATGTTTGGGGGCCACCCAAAATCAAATGCTCGTATCCCAGGGCCCCCTTAAAAGCACAACAATGTCAACTGGGTGGGGAACTATGGCCCTTTTATGACTTGTGGACTTCAACTCCCAGAATTCCTGAACCAACCATGGCTGGCTCAGGAATTCTGGGAGTTGAAGTCCACAGGTCATAAAGGAGCCATAGTTCCCCACCTCTGAGGTAAATGGAGATCTATGGTTATTTGAAAAAAACCTATTTCACTTTCCTTCCATTCCAGATATGAATATCATTGGGCAGATGGGACAAACATCAAGAAGCCAATCAAGTGCTCGGCACCAAAGTACATCGATTACCTTATGACCTGGGTTCAGGATCAGCTGGACGATGAGACGCTGTTTCCATCCAAAATAGGTAACTCTGAAATGTGCGCTTTGGCACTATACCAACTTAAAAATGGAATGGCTGTTTATGTTATTTCTGAAAGTATAGAAGGAAACAAAGCACCAGGCACACACACAAAAATATAAACTTCTGAAGAATACAGAATAATAGAGTTGGAAGGGACCTTGGAGGTCTTACAGACCACTCAGGCAGGAAACCCTACACCATTTCAGACAAATGGTTATCCAGTCCCTTCTTAAAAGTCTCCAGTGTTGGAGCATCCACAACTTCTGGAGGCAAGTTGTTCCATTGGTTAATTGTTCTCGCTGTCAGGAAATTTCTCCTTAGTTCTACATTGCTTCTCTCCTTGATTAGTTTCCATCCGTTGCTTCTTGTCCCCCTTTTCTGTGTGGCAACCCCTTAGATATTAAGACTGCCACAAAAAATATATTTAATACTGATTACAATTAGGCAGTTTACAGAAAGCCAATTTTAGCATGACATCAGAAAGATTCCAGGCGAGGTCGAAAACACATATAATTGTTTAGCAATCTTTATTTAAAACCAGTAGATAATTTTGGAATAGATCATGTTTTTAATCCTTTCCCTTTAACATTTAATGATCTTTTAAAAGGACATTATGGATGCAAAAAGAAAAAAGGTACATTCTACCACATGTGGTGGTCCTGCCCGGAGACCCAAGAATATTGGTTAAAAATTAAGCAATGGTTGCAAGAGATTATTAATGAAGCAATAGAACTAGAACCAGAGCTATTTTTATTGGGGATATTCAAAAAGAAATATGGGAGAAATATAAAATATATAGCATTACATATTCTAACTGCAGCCAGAATTGCTTACGCCCAGTGCTGGAAACATGCATGTATACCACCAGATGAATTGATCGTGCAAAAAATAATGGCTTGCGCTGAGATGGATAAATTAACTGATGTTACAAGAGAAAGAGGAGACCGAGTATTATAAGACTTGGGAAAAATTGTATGACTGGATTGAGCAATGATAGATAAACGGATGATGAAAAAATTTATGATAAGCAACATATAAACTAATGTTTACATTCGCATAAATTGTATATATTTGTAAATAATCCACAAAATAGTAGTATAAGACGAATGCCACAAACTGTTGAAGTTAAGATATTTGTATTCTTTGTTTCGTTTATTTTTTTTTAAGTTATAAAAGTCTAATAAAGTTTATTTAAAAAAAAAAAAAGGACATTATGGGGAAAAGAAAAATAACACCACAGATGAGCTCTACAAAAATGACTCCTGGCGCTCCTTGCTTCATGACCGTAATTGAGATCGGAAGTTCTGTCACCAAGCTAAGCGATCATAAAAGGCGATGTCATGTGACCACACTGCCTAGCGATGGCAGGTCCACCAGTCCCCTTAACCATCATTAAGTGGTTCACCCTGGATCGTTATGGCCACATGACCCCGACTACTAGATTGTTGAACGGTTGCTGAAAGCCCAGATCGTAATTACATGACCACTGGGATGTTGCTATGGCCAGAATTTTGAGGAGAGGTTATAAGTCCCTCTCATTCAGAACCGTTGCGGGTTCAAACAGTTGCTGAATGAGTAGTCGTTGGGTGAGGTGAAGGCCACCTATAGATGAAGTTTCAAGTTTGTTCCTGAACGCGTGTGTCAGGGCTCCAAGTAATAGACCCAAAGCAATCAAAACTCTGAGGCCTGGGGTTTCCTCAAAAGTATGAATCTATTAGGAATGTCATATTGGCTGGGGAAAACCCGACTCTGAAGGACCCGAGGTTTCCCCCACCCAAATCAAAACCCAAAGTTCTTGTCCCTGGGACACACGTCCATTTATCCATCACATGGTCCAATCAGGTCACAGTCTCAACTCCGGCTGGCTTTTGTCCAGGCCTCTCCAACACCTGGTGAGGATGTTCTTGGCTCACACAGGAAAGAATATTATTTTGGCTACACATCCCCCAACTATCTCTGTCTTCCTCCCCCTCCCGTTCCCACAGCTCCAACCAGTTTGGCTGTGGCAGCCCTGAAGATGCTCCCAAAATGGCTTCAGGGCTGACAGGCTGCTCATTATTTCCTTAAGCTCTTTTGTCTTTTCAAAGCAACGTGAGATGCTTCTCTGCTACAAGGAAATACTTACCATCCCTAAAATATTTTTTTTACTCCCATCTTTTTATAAGAAGTTGCTAAAAATGTATTGGTGTTTGTCCATTTCTGACTAACTTGGCAATCATACAATCATACATACATACTAATTGTATAGCAGTCAGTTGGCTAATTGTATAGCAGTCAAAAATAATAATAATTCTTTTGCTCTTTTTGCTTTTATTAACAAATTCACACATCTATAATTACGAGTCCCAAACTGAATTCTTCTAAAATTAGAGACTAGAGGATCTAGATTCTATAAAATGGGGTTTTATCTATAGTAGGAATATCTTGAAGATGGGTTCCTTGCTAAACAAAACAAAAAAAAAAATCACTTGAAAGGCAACATCTGTCTTTAAAATAGATATATCCTGTTTTTATTTTATTAGTTTTTATTATTTTATTTTATTTATTCCCAATTCCAGATGATTCTAGGCAGAAAGCAACACACACACACACACACACACACATTCATAAAATCCAAAAATTAATTTTGCAGGATGACTCTGGCCTACTGGGTTATGCCCCTGTTCATGCCAGTCTCGCATTTTGATTGACTGATTATGTGCCAACATATCAGTGTTGAATCTTAGCAACCACATACTGTAGATAGGTTTTCTCCACGAAAACCTTCCATGGACAAGGGTTTCTCCCCAAAATGGCTTGCAATGTATCAGTGAAGACTCAGTCATCCAGGCCAAAGGTATCTAAAAGTTCAATCGTGGCAACTGGACCAATCTTTGTTAATCTATTAATCTCACCCAAGCAACTTTGAGTGCCTTCAAGAGTTCCCAGGGATCGAAGAAATATGGCAAAAAAATCTCTCTATGACAAAATCAGTTGCCTACAAGGAAAACCTATATAAGATGCTGTACAGATGGCATTTAGCACCCTCCAGACTCGCAAAAATGTTTCCCAAATTAAACCCGAACTGCTGGAAATGCAAGAGAACACAAGGTACCTTCTTCCACATCTGGTAGCTATGCCCAGAAATTAAAAAAGATTGGACTAAGATAAAAACATGGATAGAGGAAATTACCCACTGTAGGTTGGAGTGGAAGCCGAAATTATTTCTCCTGGGAACCATTAAAGGAAAATATCCCCCTAAAATTAGATACTTGATTATACATATACTAACGGCAGCACAAATTGCGTTGGCGCAGGCTTGGAAGATGTCCACCACACCATCAAACAACATTATAATCCACAAAATCTTAGAATGTGCATAGATGGATAGGTTCATGGTGAAATTAAAGGATAAGTATTATTTAATACGGAACAAAATATTATTTGGAACATTTGGTACCAATGGTTGGACAGTAAAGTATAATAAAGGTTACAAAAGGACTTTAAAAAGAAGAAAAAGGGGGAATAAAATTGGAATATTAGCAAACAGACAGGATGAGGGAGAAGCTATAGAAATTGAGGAA